CGGGTTCGCCCTTTTGGATGCAGTGGGTGTCAGCTGCGAGGTCAGGTGATTCAGGTAGAACATTGGTGCAAGTTCTTTTAGTGTTTCAGCAATCAGCTTCCCATCTTTTTCAATCCTGCAGACATTGTCAAGGCCAAAGGTAATCCGGGTGCCCCGACGGATGAGGACTCTACAGGAAAGGAGACCGTACTTGAGACTAGGTACATACTGTACATCTGGAATTCGACAGGTGAAGTGCCTCCCTCCGGCAGTGCAGGCGATCAAGACGGTTCCCTCCCCGAGCGAGGGAACACAGCTATCATTTCCCAAGGCAATCTGGCGTGGAGGATCAAAAGGTGTGTATTCCACAAAGTCGTTTTTGTTTGGGCAAAAATGGTTACTGCATCCTGAGTCCATGATCCAGGGTTTCGGTGCATCTGTGTTCCTGTCAGTGACCAGTGCAGTGTCCATGATATGTTCAGCACATAGAGCCTTTTCCTCGGAGTCCTCAGTAGCGTCCGCACCCCCTCCTTTGGCGGCTCTCTTTTTCTGGTAGGTTTCCTTTTCGGCTTCTGTTGCCATGCACTTTGTGTGAAGATGGCCAGTCTTTCCACAACTCCAACATGTTTTGCGCGTTAGCCAAGATGGATCACCCTTCCTTCCCTTTGTATCGCTCTCTGCAGCAAGGGCCTTTGGCATGAGTGCAAGTTCAGTTTTCGTTCCAAGGTTCTCTCCCTTTGCCCGGGCCTGGAGTTCCTTGGTCTCTACCTCCCCCTTCAGTTTGTCGAGGTCCCAGCTCATGTTGTTAGTTGCTGCTGGGGCGTTCTGGATGAGCAAGGTCTGCAGGTACTCATGCAAGATGGGAGGGTATGGATGAGTTGCATGGCAATCATTCGATCTTCGATCCATCCTCGATCGCCAGGGACAAGTTTGTTTACCTTGTGAGTGAGGTTCATAAGGCCAGATAAGAAGTCCAAGATCGATTTGTAGTTGCTGACTTTTGCCTCACAGTACCTAGTTCTCGCATAGTATTCAGCGGAGGCACCAGTCTGCTGGTAGGCACCTTTCAAGGCTCTGAATAGTGTTGTGGCAGGACTTTTGGAGTGGCGAAAAATGTTGTCTTGGACTGAATCGCTGAGAGATAGCCATAATCTTCGGTGAGTATTCCTTTCTCCTTCAACCCATTCCGCGTATTCGGGTATTGTCTTATCAGATGGTTCAATCAGGCTTCCATCTAGGTAGCCCCAGGTGTGTCCCATAGCAAATCGGAGGTTGATAGACCACCTATTCCAATTGTCGCATCCCTTCAGCTTAGCGATAGCAAGGACAGCCTTATCGATGGTCGAGTCTTTCAGAGTCATGGTATGTTCTTCGGGTCTGATCCAGAATGAGTAGGTAACGGCGATTCAGAACGAGACAGCTCCTTTCTGAGCAATAGTTCAACAGTGCCAGATGACTTTTAAAGCGGTGGAGTAAAACTGGGCTGATAACCTGTGATAACTGTGCAGCGCGATACCTCAATTAGTGAGGTATCAGCTGCTAGCGCAAGTCCGGTCCTTATATACATCTTGTAATGACTCTACGCCACTGAGGTGAAACATGAGTGGTAAACAACAAGTTGAAAACAAAAGCGCAAAGACAAAGAGTCAAAGAGGTTGCCGCCGTTTGTGCCTCAAAGCTGTTGGAGATCAACCTCAAAACATGTATTTACATATATTTGTGCCGATAATTCTATTTAGTGGTCTACTCTCATCTGGTCCGACCCCGGCCCTATTGTGGCCTCATCCCTATGGTTTTCTATAGGTTATGAGCCCAGCCGGCCTAACGGCTCGCTGAAGTATCATCAAGAAAATCCACTTGACCCTCATGGTGGACAGCCACGGTACATCAATTTGGAGGCTAACACCCCAAATTGAGGGCGAGTGTTGGAGAAAGGGATCAAGTGATCTCCCAAACCATCAGGGAAGGGGTACCCCCCCTGGCATAACGGGCGAGTAGTGTATGGATGCACGCTAGAGGTCCTGGGTTCGATACCAGGCTTGTCCATTTTATGTCATTTGTCCAGTCACCTGGTTTACCTCATTTGGATATCACGGAGTAAGTCCGGGCAGGCAACGTGCAATTTCTTCAAAAGCACCCCTCCCCTTCCCAAAGCGTGAATGTCCGGCCCAGGTGACTCCCTTGACCACCAGTGGCGTTGGGCTGCAACTTCTAACACTTTTCCCTTCCCTTAAGGTGCACGGTGTAGGGAAAGTTCCGAGGACATCATCAACAACTAAAGAATGACCTCACATGCATGGACACTTGACCCTTGTATGATAGCAAGTTGGAATGGGAGGAAAGAGTAATTGAAGGAGTCAATCAAGGTTGTGTGTATCACTTGGATTCGACACCATGTTGAAGGTCATGTGACAAGTTAAACACTTTAACTGGTAAGGTGACCACACTTCAGCCTCAGTCTTGGCACAAGTTTCCCTGTGCACAGACATTCACCAGATGTTCCCATGGCTGTGGAACAAGGGGGATCCGACATGCATTACATTTTTATGACATTTTTTTGGACTGTTTATGTTAAAACATACTTTGAAGAACATTTCCTCACATGCTTACACTATATGGATTATATGAACCTATGAACAACTACCTAGAAATATTTTCTAGACAGAACTATATGACACCCTGACTGAGTCATTTCTGATGGAGTCATTTCCAGCTGAGTCATTTTTGACCAAGTCACTTTGGTTGAGTCATAATGTGGTTGAGTCATTTCTTGAAAATAGAAATGCACAGCCTGAAACCAATTCAGACTGAGTCATACACAGCCCCATCACATCTAACCAAGTCATTTTGGTTGAGTCATATCTGACTAAGTCATCTGGGCAAGTCATTAGGGCTTTCTAGAACAAAAGCTTGTAAATACTCTATTGCATGTAAATAGTGCAAAGCGTGGGAAAGAAAGGTCTTGAAAGGTATAAAAGGACCATGATTTCGCTCACTTTGCAGCCCCTCAGAGAAGTAAGAAAATAGAGTAATATTTCTCTCAAGCACTTCTGGTTCTCACTCCAGTGCGAAAAAGTGATAGAAACAGTTAAGATTGCCTCTGTTCAAAAGGCAACAACAGTCAGAGAAGTAAGAAAATAGAGTAATATTTCTCTCAAGCACTTCTGGTTCTCACTCCAGTGCGAAAAAGTGATAGACACAGTTAAGATTGCCTCTGTTCAAAAGGCAACAACAGTAAGAGAAGTAGGAAAATAGAGTAATATTTCTCTCAAGCACTTCTGGTTCTCACTCCAGTGCGAAAAAGTGATAAGACAGTTAAGTTCGCCACTGTACAAAAGGCAACAACAGTGTGATAAGTGAGGTAGGAGATTTATAGGCGTCTAAGTAAGACACTTAGAAGCAGTTTGTTACTACTGAACAAAAAGTGACAGTGTGAAGGGAGAAAATAGTAGTATCTCTCCACACATAGGAGTAATCACTTCCTAAACTAAAAAGTGGTAGAATTAGGTGAATTCTGACTGAGAGCTGAACAGATTAGAGTCGGCTCAGACAGACAGAATTATTTGAACAGCTCCGCAGGGTGTTTGATTGTTTGATTTTTCTATAGCATACTAAACTGTTGAAAAAGCAACCAAAACACTAACACAGCACCGTACTCAACAGGTACACTCCCCCACAACCAGGAACAGGGAAAACTGCACTCTCAGTTCCACTCCTTCAACGGGCACCTGCCCGTGTGTCTTCACGCTTGCATCTTATTCATTTCCTTCATGTCACAATGTTGTAATTGGCGGATTCAAAAAAACATCATCATTTTCATATTCGTCAAACACGTGATTTTTGCGGGATGTACTTGGGAATGTTTTACAAGGGGTGTCAGTTTCTTGAATCCTGTACCTCATGTCCAATTTTAGGAATTGGCGCATATGAGAGCACCCTCCCCCCCATTTAATTCAATCGGTATTTGCCGTTATGCCGCAAAACGTCCCAATACACAAATTTGGCAAGTCCGCTGAAAATTTCCACCCCGATCAACACCACACCCTGGTGAAGGTAACCATGTTGTCCGGTGTTAAATCCACTTATAGTAACTAAAATGTCCTGTAGGCTAGTGCTAAATTCCCTGCTAACTATCACGAGGTATGCCCTGAATGTGGTATGGAAGTCCTTCTGGGCTATGGTGGCCCATCCAATATGGAGAATCACAGGGGAAAAAAAACTTGCCGCAATAGACAGAAGGAGAATGAGCAAACGCTGAAAGTTAACCAGCAGGCTACTTTCATGTCAGCCTTTTTTAAGCGCCAAGAGCCCGTGCATTCAACTGTCACAAAGCCTGCCCCGCTGCACAGCTTTTCCCAAGCCATGGAAGTTCAGCCCACATCCCCAAGTGTACCAGAGACTACTGCAACCTCTCCACCACCAGAAACCAGCTTTTTGTCTGCTTTGTCAAGGCTTAGAGTCATAGCCTCCCATTTCCCCCCATCCGTCTCACTGGCTAAGCCTGATGATGCTATAGTGGAGCTCTGTGATGCCGAAGGCATAATGACTATGTGTAGTCTTGAGGAAGAGGATCCCTATGAGTGGCTGGATAGAAAACTCAACGGTCTCTGTGGTGTCTGGGCAATCAACAATGGACGCATTCCCCTGGCAATGAAGCGGGGTCCTCATGGGCTAGAAGGGCTTTGCCAGACATTACAGTTCTTTATTGACAAGGGCTTCGCAACGGAAGCCATTCTGAGTGATCGAATCAACATCCTCCTAGTTGAGGCTGAAAAAATGTATGTCACAAATCGTACTGAGGAAGGATGATAGTGACACCCTTTTCAAGGATAATGACATCCGAGTCGAGTAAATCCACTATTCCATCTTACAACTTGAGCCAAAGAAACGAGAACAATTATCACCAATCCAGCCTCGCACAGTTGTCCTCAGGCTCGGACCCAGGCTTGCACTCGGACTCAAACTCAAACTCGGACTTGGACTCGGACGCGGACTCAAATGGCAGCAATAGCAAACAGACTCCCAATGGACTCAGAATGGGTATAAATTGTCCGGGGGTAAAGGTCATTATGCCTGAGGGCATGACCCCATTTCGGGAATGGCCTTGGCTTATGCAAGAAGAGTTAGCTGCATTGGTCACAGTCGTGATTAAAACTGGGGTACTTACACTATATGCTCCAGGGTGCTTAGGGTTCTCAGTGAGAGCTGATAGACCCTGTGAGGAGTGCCAAAGCCGCATTAATCATTCTTGGCTCTTGCGTGTCCAACGCCACATTCAGAATGGCCTTCCTGAAACAACCCCTTACAAGCACCTAGGAATGGCCAAACTACTTGAGGTTTTGCGACGCAAAGACCGTCAGATTGATGCTCTCAAGCTTGGCCATCTGAATAGCATTCGAAAACTCCGAGTACTCACAACATCAAATCTTGATTACAAAAGATTTGTTATTGCAGTCGCAGAATGCGATGCTCCACGCATTAATGTTCTTGTCCGTTCTGCTCTAAAAAATAGACGGGGCATGGGAGATATAATCCATCTCATTGGGAAGGCAGCAATTGGGAGTTACCATCCACAATACACAGAGAGGGAACAGCTGATGAGCGTTGTTCTGTATCGGCTAGGTGGTTCAAGACTAGCCGAATTTGCACATGCTGCATTGGGAATGCCAGGCCTGACTGCCATCAAGCAACACTGTACAACATCCATCCTCGCATCAGCAGCTTTCCCAAATTTGGAAGGACTTACTCGGAACATTGACTCAGCTTATGAGTTGAACTCCCCCTTAGGAGATGGAGTGATGGGACTTGTCTGTATGTTTGATGAGATCAAAGTCGAAGAGGGACTGGACTGGTGTCCACGTACCAATTCTATCATTGGCCTATGTCGCGAGCATTCAGGTCCGGAGGGACATATCTTCACCAATTTAGATGATGCGCAGGTTATATGTGAAGATTTGAGGGAAAAAAAAGTACATCTTGGGACGGAGGTGAGTTGATAATAGTTGTTATATGGAATTCTGGAACCAAGACTCCCATTCAGGCCACCGTTGGTGCAATAGGAGCATTAACTGAAACACACCGAGGATATATTGCACGTCCATTCCTAATCAGTGCAACTTGCAAACGGGAGACTGCTGATCAGCATGCCGAGCTTCTGAGTGTCGCATGGAGGGCATGCGCTCAAAAAGACAAGACCCTCAAAGGGCAGGTGTATTGCTTAGCATCAGATGGGGAATCACGGCGTGGAAAGGCCCTTGTTTCTCTCACTGAACACACTCGACTGTCACCTTCATCTGCCATATATCCATTTCTCCAAAACCTCTCGCTACTGAACCTAATGGTAGGAGATAACGAAGTAACATCAGACAAGGATTACAAACATGTTTTTAAACGTTTGCGACATGCTTGCCTTCGTACAAGTGGCATCTCCATTGGTTGCTCTCAAATTACTCCATCCATCCTCCGAGCACAACTCCAATCAAACGGCTATTCAGCAGATCGCATCAATAATGTTCTGAATGTGACCGATAAACAGGATGTAACGACGATGCTGAACCTGATGGATATGATCTGGAGACTCCCATCCCCTCCACCCACATTCCTGCCGATTCAACACAAGAGTCGCATTGCACTCAACCACCTTTCAAAGATTCTACAGTGGCTCATTCTTCCCTATATAAACATCGGATTGAGCCTCTATGAGCAACTGAAATATCTCAGTGCTGCGGCTCATCTGTCGTACATTTTTTACACTCACAAAAATACACGATCCTCCTTCCTCCCAGCAGCCCTATATCGAGACATTCAAATTATGGTCAAGAATGTCTTCTTTTGCGTTGCAAAGGCAAAGCGGGACAAACCAAATGGAAATTTTTACATAATTCTTCTGGGAACCGATAGATTAGAGTGGATGTTTGGGTTCACTCGGGCAGAGAATGGGTACAATGTCAACTTTGGGACTTACTCACTCTCAAACCGCATCTCGGGTGCTGTGGAATGTCATGCCATCCTCTCTGAGCATCCAGAATGGGATCGTGGTCCACGTCGACTAAGGCTCCGAGGTTTCACTGATGCTGGTGGAATTGAACAAAAAGTTGATCACATCAACCCCGCATCCTGGAAGGGCAATGTCCAAGTTGCCAGTGTGCAGCTAGTCTCAGCTTGGAAAGCTGGGCGTTACCTTGTAGAAAATGACAAGGACCTCACAGAGTTTGACCCGGCCCAGAAGCTAAATGAGTTGGAATCACAGCGTGGTCCCGACCTTTTAAATCCTTTTGGGTCAAGCATACATGACGAAGATATCGAGGATTCAACTCACACATATGACCTGCAACCTTTCCCTGAAGGACTCACGGCATCGGCAATATCTTCACTGGAACTCGAAGATCTGGCAGATAATGAATATGCTCATCAAAGTGGATTAGAAAGTACCATTGAGCTGCCTGATGGGAAACGAGTTCATAAAGCAAAAGTCTTACGAGAGTTCACCAAATACTCGACAACTTCCAACTCCACGGACCGTTTGAGACGAGTTGCTAATATTTCGAAGTTTGCACAACCTGTGTCTTCACTTAGCCATCACATTGGTGATGATGCTGTCGTGGGGCCAGAATGTATACTTGTCCAGGACCCTATCGCTGTACTTCTTCGATGCGGTGGTATCCCATTTCTGGGGATTGCCCAGGTCAACTCTATCAAAGTAGACGGCAGTAGTCAAACATCCGTGGAGAAAGACTTACTACGTGAGGAGAAGGTTTCATTTGGAATCCAAATACTCCACTTGAAACCATCTAACGTGGCGCTGTCGGATGGGGCTGAGGGTGACTGGGTGTGGGAAAAGGGGGTCGACGCGAGCATCGTAGTTCCTGGGAAATACCTTCAACAAATTGGCCCAGAACTTGTTAATGGGAAAACTGGTGGAGCCGTTGGAATCATCGGTTATGGATTCCGCAGTGATGAACTGAGAGAACTTACGGCCATGATGTTCAAAAGTCTCAGTGGGGATGACTTGCGTGCAATGGTAGAGATCAAGCACACTGATAGCTTTCCATACAGATTTGAAGGTGTGTGTACAGTTCTATTTCTATGAGACTGGTCACTGAAGATGTGATTAGGGAGGGTTTGTTTTGCGTGTGAGGTTGAAGGGACAGAGAGAGACATCCTCGACAACAACAACAACTCATGCCCTGAATGTCACGCGCTCCTGGAAACAACTCCGAAGCTGCTCACTCACATTGCCGCTCATATTCTCTATGACCCTAAAGTCGATCGGTCCTGTGAACCCTGTGGCCTCTGCCTTCTCCCTAATCCCTTGTGTAAATTTGTCTTGAAGCGAAGCAAGGGTGCTCCAGCGATCGATTTTACTAAATCATCATGCCCCCGAATTACAAAATTCTCTTATGGTCCGGCTAGTACTGCATCATCAACTAATCCATGCAGTAATGTTCCACTTAAATGCCCCCGCTGCCCTAAGGATTCCAGCGCTGTCTGGAAATACAACATGGAGGCCCATTACCATAGCAAGCATTACCCAATCCGGCCTTCATCGGAATTCCAGGTCACTGATTTTGAGGCAGAGGGACTCAAAGTAGTCTGGAATGGCCGTCATACAGCAAACAGAGCAGAGATGAGACGGAGGAAACAACTTCCGGCTCATTTTAACATCTCAGATGCACATAGCTCACGAGTTGCGCTAAGGTCCGTGATCCTAATGGAGTCCTCTGCTGTATGATGGTCCCTACTGATCAATTAGAACTTCAAGATCTACAGACCTTGAGGCACAGTCTAAATCGTCTCAATGGGTACCCAAAGAGGATGTCGAAAATATGGTCCCAAATGACGCGCAACGCTCCCCCAATCCTGGCTCCCCCACTCTGAACAATAGCCTTCCTCCACATTCGACACCTGCTAATTCCCTGAATGCCCCCGCTTCAACATATGCCAGTGGACGACCAATGCGCAGGGCAATAAAGCGCGCCACCGCTCTCCATGTTTGTTGTACAAGACAAATTACTGCGGAAGAAATCGCAGATGGCACAACCATTGTTCAATGTCATAGGACTGGTTGTGAAACAGTTTGGGTTCGTACATCTGTCATGTACCTTCAAAGTATCTTTAACATTCTCCTTAGTTTCACCGAGCATGTCAAGGGCTCGGCTCATACATTCCTCCTGGATGGAGTTGTGGGTCACATGAGATTGTTCGCACCAATAAGCGTGTAAAAAAGCTTTGAATTCTCTTAGTTAGACTGCATATGAATTGATCTAAAATGATATCCGAAAATAAGATTGGACGGCAGTCGTGCCACCCCCCCCCTCCAACCTGGGGTTCGGCAATGGCCGAATCGACACCCCTTGATGTTTTAGGTTTACTGCGTTACCGGTTGTTGGTCGTGCTAGTACAGTATTACGAAGTCATAGAGGCTGGAGTCCTGCCTACTTGACGGGTTCACTCACACTATCCACACTCACTCACTACGACTGCTCGCTTTATGTCTATACTCAAAACCACATCACTGAGAGCTAGCCTCCACACTGTGCGCGGATGCCTGTTCCCACCACTTTCGAGGTTCGCAAGCACCCAGCGCACTGTGCTAGACGGGTTGACAGATGAACAAATAGAGGTGCGACCATGGGGGGTGTGGTGAGACACCATTCTGGGATTGCTAAATGATGCCTCCAATTTGCGGGACGTCAGTTCCAGGCTGCTGTGTCTGATTTCGCACAGAAGGAAATTGCCCCTCGAGCGTCCGAGATTGACAAGACAAATAATTTTCCAATGGTAGATAGCAGTCATTTCATCTCCAATCGCAACTGCCTCAAGGCTTTAAGTTGCTAGGATTTATGGAGGAAGTTTGGCGACATGGGCTTGCTCGGTGAATTTTGCTTAAATCTTAACGATCCACACTTTAGCCCGTTTTTATGACTATTTCGACACTCTGAAAACAGGAATTACCATATCCGAGGAATATGGTGGGATTAACTCCGGTTATCTACAACACACTCTCGTTATGGAGGGTTCGTTCCTTCCCTTATTTCCCGCCGTCTCGCGCTTATCTCTCAGCTTTCCCTTCCACTTTAATTAAGAGATATCTCGAGCATCCGGGTCTGTGGCCCTCTCATATGGCGCCCATTCCAATCTTTGTGTGAACCAAATTCACCGGCATGGGACTCCCGCCCAAAAACAGAAATATCTGCCAGATCTCGTCTCAGGACGTAAAGTTGGTGCACTGGCAATGAGTGAAACCGGAAGCGGCAGCGATGTGGTCAGTATGCAGCTAAAAGCCGAGAGACAGGAGGGACGATGGGTGCTCAATGGGAATAAATTTTGGTGAGAAGTTATCCTCGACACTATAACCTGATTTTTTTTTGGCTGAAAAGGAGGGTAGGATTACGAATGGGCCGATAGCAGATACACTTGTTGTTTACGCCAAAACAGAACCTGAGAAGGGTTCAAAGGGGATAACAGCATTCATTATTGAGAAAGACTTCCCTGGATTCTCAACGCATCAAAAACTCGATAAGTTTGGGGTGAGGAATACATTTTTAGGTTATAGGCTTTTTTGTCTTTCCAACTTGTTGAATCTGGCGTGTGTAGATGAGAGGAAGTGATACTTGTGAGCTGGTCTTTGAAAACTGCGAGGTTCCAGAAGGCAAGTTCCATGAATTGCATTTCGAGTCGCTCATGCTTAAGCCTTTTACGCGTCAAGAGAGCGTATTGGGCAAATTGAACGGAGGTGCGGCCGTGCTCATGAGTGGCCTTGACCTTGAGCGTCTCGTTCTGAGCGGCGGTCCACTTGGGTGTGTCAAAGGTGTCGCATTCTTGAGGAGCGCGAATGACTAATTTGGCTCGCCTCGATCGCTTAGACTCATGCAAGCTGCCTTCGACATAACACTCGACTACGTGCATGAGCGAAAGCAATTCAACAAGGCTGTAGGGACTTTCCAGCTCATGCAGGGCAAGATTGCGGGTATGATCCTGTCTTGACCAGACCTAGGATCAATTGCTCATGATTTCGAAATCCCTTCAGATATGTATACTAAGCTGAGTGCGAGCAGAGCTTACGTGTATGCGGTTGGCAGAGCATGCGATGCTGGAAACATCAGCCGTCGGGTATGGCATTTTTCTCAGACTTATCCATTCCTCACTTCCTCTTCCAGGATTGTGCAGGGGCTATTCTCTACTCTAGTGATCGCTCCGTTGAAGTTGCCATAGATGCAATGCAATCCTTGGGCGGCAATGGATATATCAATGGTCTGCAGCTGTTCATTTTGCTATTCACATTTTTCCATTAATCTTGGCAATTTTCAGATTACCCCACCGGGAGAATACTACGGGATGCCCGGTTATACTGTGTAGGAGCCGGGACACAAGAGATCAGACGAATGTTAATAGGCCGGGAGTTCAACTCGGACTACGGAATAAAGGACCAATAAAAGTTAAGATCCTACCACACAAGTTGAATGGGTACTGGGCAATGTTATTTGCATTGTGATACAATTAGCACACATGATTGGTAGTGCGTTTATTTCCTAAGGAAACATTGATAGAAGCGTTTGACAGGGAGAGCAGCAAGACGATGGTTAGTCATGGACAAAACTTTGCCGAGATGGCGGAAAGAAAAAACGATGGCGCTTCATGGGACTTTAATATTCTTCAAGATCCAGTGCATGGGTCGCCATCGAAACTTTGAGTCGCTTACGGTCTCGTTCAAGAATACTTTCGTTCGAAACGTCGCACACAGGAAGCTCTCCGGCAGAGTCTGATTCTTTGGACTTCCTTTTGATTCCTTGGGATGCGTGAAGTTCCATATGATCGCCCGGGTGTGTTTGAGATTGGGTTGGAGATCCCATATCTGCATCTTGATTATTTTCGTCGTCACTCAGATGTGAGTCCCCGTCCTTGCTGCCGTGAGTGGTGTTGGAAGTCATTTTGGAAGCGGCTTGAGCAGGGCGTTTCCGGTCACGTAGCTTTCCTCTCTACCCAGGTGTCCAGTTGCCATTGGAGCTCACCATGTGCGTTACGTACCAATGTATCAAGTCCAATCGCCTTCATTTCGAGTTCGCCTCTTGGGTCGAAGTATCGTTCGAAGGCGGCATTTACATCCTTGGTTAGAACTGGGACACGCTTGATGGTGGGGCGGCCTCTTTTGCTTTTTGGTCTAGCCTTTGGCGGCGAGGCCCCGAGCCTGTCGAGCAGATCTTCAAGATCTTGAAGAGAACAGATAAATCCTAGCAAGATTTGCAGGTTTCTTCCCCATCAGTGCACAGAGTTGCAATTTGTTACCTTCAGTCTCGAGTCGTTTCCAAACTTGGCCAGCCACCTGAGCATTGACACCTAAAAACAACGTGAGCTCAGGCGACGAATGAAATATCCCATGACACGTGCCTAATCGTTTCTTCAAGGCGAGCGACGTTTCCGGCCTCGTCTCACCGCTTTCGCGAACTGCTTGAAGACAACGTCTGGGAACGGAAACAGAACGACCCATACTCGATGGGTTATGCTCGTGGGACAACGACCACTATACCTGAACAGAGCTAAAGCCTTCCAAGAAGAGATAGTGGCGTCAACTTGGTTTTCGTCGAGTAGGCTAGAATTCGGATCTTCACGAAGCTCGCACGGGAAGCAGCGAAAGCAGTTGGAAATTCTCTGGTCTCTGTCATTATGATACCTGGCTTTCTTTAAGCGTCACCCCCGTGCCAGGTACCGCACACTTACCCCATACACCTTGCGTATTAAGGATCGTTAGTATTGTCAGCCATGCGACCGCGTGGGGTGACCGACACACCATATGTGAAGCCACCTTCCGCATGAATCGCACAGGATCCAGTCGACTTCCGACGTCTATGCAGCCCAACGAATTAATGAGAGGTTCTTGATCAATATCGAAGAGGCCGACTTTGCTTCCACAATCACAGTCAGCCGTCAAACCACTAGGGTCCACACCTGATTGAACCTGCGTCGTGCCCCTATTAGACACTGGCGTTTCCATCTGGCTGTCTTCAATAGTTATCTGGCTATCAGAGACGTTTAGTGCGAGGGCGCGCGCTCTTGGAGTGCCTGGATCCTCTATAATTTCATCTTCCCCACCAGCATCCTGACTACTGAGCTCGGTAAGCTCGGATTCAGCAGAAGAGAAAATCGGGTCTTCTTCAATACATCGTGTGGCCTCAAAGGGATTAGCACGCAAAAGGTCAGAAGCAATGGAATCATGTGTGAAAGTTGGGTCCGAGCCTTCAGATGCCGTGGCTCGGTTCAACTCCAAACCACGGCCACGATGTTTTCCTTTCTTCATAACTTGCTTGAGATACTGCGTGTCGACACCATTTGTAATATCACTTAGATTCGTTTCCTTTTGCAGAAGCGGATTGCCTGCTTTGACGGTTTCTGGGATTGGAGAGGTCACGAGGGATCCCGCCTGTGATGCGTTTATTTCTGTAGGAGTCCCATCGCGTCGAGGTGATAGCACCTGGAACACGATCCGAAACATGGAATGAACGACACGGGACCGATGGCGATGAAAAACCGACATACAATCTTATCAGAGGTCTGTGAGCTAAAGTTAAACTCGCGCTCGTCATTTCTCCTAGATTTCTTGACTGTAATGGCAGTCGACAGTGGCTGAATGCTGCCATCGGACCCTCGAACACCGAGAGGAGCATCTCGGTCTTCGTCAGCTTCAACATCTGAATCCAGTGCTCTGACAGACCCTTCATCGGGAGGACTCTTAGGACGAGCAGGCGCATCCGCATCCCAGACGATATGCCTGTGCCTGGCATCCTCGATCTGGACCTCGGCTGCCCGTTGTCGCATGCGCGAGCCATCCGCAAATGTCGCTGGCGGACTATGGCCTGGAGACAAACCCGAGAACTGCGCAGTATTATCCTCGCTGTTGGGAATTAGAGAAACTATCGAGGCAATATCAAGAGTGACGCTAAAATATTGTTCATCAGTATTTTGTACAAAAAACTAAACTAAGTACTATACCTATGGTAAGGAGTGTCGAGGGTGCCGAGACGAATCTAATCATTGAAAGGTAATCCTATGCGGGGCCAGGCGCGATGAGTTAACTCACCTTGTCGGGAGATTCGGACGGGTTGTGTGTAGTGAAAACAAAACTGGATGAAGCCGGATCGGCAGGAACAAAGAAGGGGGGCTCATAATTCTGAGGTGTGCCGTTGTTGTAGTAAATTTTGAAAGTTGCATGACGGCGGACTGGAAGTAGGAAGCAATGTTGGAAGTGTTTGGAAAGCCTGATAACTTCAAATACTACTTACGCGGCAGTACTTCCAGCCCTTGGCTCGCCGTAATCAAGCCACGGATAAGGTTCTGTGATTGAGGGCTAAATGAGGCAAGACTGGAGATAGCGAGTAAGGGTCACCTTTACACTTCGCTTAACCTCCCCAAGAGTAATGTGCCTCCCTTTCAGCGACGCTGACATCACCGGATCGGAATTGCCGGCGAGCGATATCCCCGCCATTGCCTTATCCAACGAAAACACTGGAACCGTGACATTCGTCCCTTCGATCTTATGATACCGGAAATTGAAGGTCCACGCTTCGACGATACTGAACATTTTCAGTTCGAGAAGGCCACAGACCGAAATTAGGACATACTTTGAGGGATCGTTTTTGTCCTTGAACCGAATGAAACATGCGAGCTACATAGGATCCTGGGACGGAGTCACTTACTAGATAGATTGCAAAGACGAAACTCTGAAGGTACTGCTTCTCCAACGCGTCGAACACACCCTTCTCCAAGTAATCGAGCATCTGATCCCCTTCGCTAGTATATCCCCTCTTTACAGCTAGATTGGGATATGGTATGAAATTACGCGTTTGGCACGCGATTTAAAGGACAGCGGCGCCATACTCTTTATCCTCACCCCGCTCACGTTCCTCTGGGCAGAGGGCTCAGGGTCTCCGTCCAATGACGTTCCAGTTGAAGAAAGTCTTGCATCCTCAAAATTTTCATCTGGCAACAAACCCCTAAACACGTTCATTTGAAGCCGTGATTCACACTTCGACGCTGGCTGATGAATGAAAGTGGCACACACCGTAAAAACGTCATACACCCAAAACCAGCAGTGACAAGCGTCTTGACAGCAGCTAGGGACTGTGCCGCTGTGACGACCTTTTGATCCTGTGCGACAGACTGGGCTTGCATTGTGAATAGCAGACAGTTCTATTCTCGATGGTGGAAAATATTTGCAAGTTCGGCGTGGGAAAAAGCGCTATCCCCGATCACTCAATGTGAACGTTAACGTCGGCAGAGGCCGGCGATTGAGTTCAAGTGGTTAAGGGACTCACGAAATCTTAGGGTGATCGAAAGTCGCTGAACCAAAGTCGAACTCGATATTACACTAGAGGGTGTAAAGTACAAGATCTCTGCTTTTCCTATCTACTAAGGTTCTAGCTTATATACGGTTCTCTACGCTTATGTAAGCTTATCGCTTACAGTCGCCCTCCTGCGACGTTGGCGACTCGCATCTACAAATTAGGGATTAGTCGTTAGAAGCCGTATATAATACTCAAGATAAAGGGAACCATAAAATAAATTCAGAACCTGCACTTATGACGAAGTCTAGTCGTTCTTTGGAGCTGAAGAGCTCGCCTCAGCCGCTCCTTCGGTGGTGTCGACCAAGTGCTCCGTCTGTAGCGCTGCCATTGAGAGGTCATTCATATGGCCAATAGTGCTCGAAAGTGAAGGGGATGCCGGCGTTACAAAGTTTGGGGGGGCAACCGATGGCACATATTCCGCGTTCACAAAGAGATTGTTGGGGTCGATTGGCGCGTTGTCTGTGTTCGCGAATGGGTAGGGGGTCGGGGTTGGAGTTGGGGTTCCACCACTAGGTCCCGCGTTGTCGGTGTGTCGTTCAGTAGGCCTCGTCCCAACATTACGGTATTTGTTTCGTCCGCACACACCGCGTCTGGTGTAAGGACCTCCGCGGTGGGGTGGCACCCGCTCTCGGCTGTGGTAGGGAGATGTAGGAGGGGGCGGTGGACGCGTGAACCTGCTAGGGGAACCGATGACCGTGCCAGAATTTAAGACGGCTTGCGCTTCTAGATAGGGAGCATGGAGCGCGTGAGACTCGATTGCGTTCAGAATCATGTCCATGAGGTTGTTAGCCTCCACCCATTGCGTCCAAAAGTTCAGTTCGGGGCCAGTAATCGTGCCACCAGACTCTATCATAGCAAGATGGCGGCATACCGCTGCATAGTCCTTTGATTCCATGCTGGGCACAATTGTGAATCTGGGTTTTACTTTCGTGGTGAATCCTCTCCTGGGCGGGATGATGGTGTGCGAGTGTGGATTGAACATTGTGGCGTGTCCGTGGTCAGGGAGGGTCGATATGGGGGGGTTAGTCGAGCTACAAGTGAGACCTATCGATATTGCCGCAATGGATAGTCCTTTTATATGTTCAGTTATGTCTGATATTGGGGTATTTTCTTGTCATAATTTCGTAATGTTGCTTACCCCTAAGACATCTAAGTGATCATTCAAAGGTGCCTTTCCGCACAGTAGGCTCCAAGGCTCCCAACTTGTGGAACCGTTTGACCATTGAACGAAGAATTTCGCGTGTTTTCCTTGACCGTCATGCTTTATAATGCGTTGTAGTAATGTGTCGTCCGAGGCGCCGATTCCTATATACTCATCGACTTTTCGGTTGGGGAATAGAATATCATCGTTAGGGATGTGTGGTCGTAGCAGCTTAGAGTGAAATACGGGGTGTATACTAATAGGAGGGCTAAAGCGGGAGCTCAGTCTCCGTTAATGAAGAACTGAATTACTACGGTTGATACTAACCTAAAGCGGGAACTATAGTACAGAAGAGTACAGAGTAAGTAATGTAACAACTAACTAAAAACAATGATACTAACCTCAGTCTCCGTTAATGAAGAACTGAGGAGAAAAGGAAAGTAGAGCGAAAACAGTATATACAATTATATACATTGTGTCACGAGGCGAATACGGATGTAAGAGAGATCATGTGGTGTTGGTTGGTAAGTCACGGGTCATTGTTACTCCAACATATACCTCATTTTCTGAGTTCGTTAGCTCAAGCTCAAAGCTTGTGTTTGGCAAAGCTTCTCTAGTTATCCGCATTGGGCCAATGTACTTCATCGATAATTTTCTTGATTTGCCCTTCCCTAGGTTCAAGTTTTCCGTTGACAAGTAAACCATGTCATTGACTTTGAACAGTGTTTGCTTACGATGTTTGTTAGCTATCACTGTTTGATTACTTCGTGCATCAATGAGAGCATCGTGCGCGTCCAGAGTCATTGCTGTGATTTTGCGAGCTACAGCCTGAACACCTGGATAAGGGGACTCTCACGAGATGAGGATTGGGTTTGGTTGCCATATTCCATTCAATTCGAAAGGTGTATATCCTGTGCTATCCGATGTTGACATGTTTATTGCCAGTACTATGGCTGGGAGTTTGGACGCTGTAGGCGGGATAATCGCCCACGCACAGACTCGGCTCGGATACCCACTTCCACGATCAGAAAACAACTTTCATTCACGCGACGACTCGGTACAAATTTGGTATCCAAAAATAGTCCTAATTCGTACGATTCTGACGATACCAAGAACGTCCTAATCGGTGGAGATTTGACAGAGTTCTATGTTGGGCAAGTTAGGCACGGGCATGTGCGGGCGTGGGAATCTCAAGCGGCAACCCAGAATTCCAGCCTCACTCGTTCCCACGGCGTCTAATAAATTGGTAAAAATGCTTATTGGCTGTGTGAGAGTTATCTCCGGCTACATTTCCAATTTAGGCTCTTAATTCCGCAAATCCATTGAGAAATCGCTTATTTTCATATATTTTCATATTTTGCCATCATTTCAGTTATTGATCATTATTCTTTTATTGTTACTGTTACCCTTTTTTATTACTTTTGCCTAATAAGGTATGCAGGTGCCATATGGTACCAATATTTCTCATCAATTATTCTAAAAATAATTGTTCCTTATATCCTGTACATACCGGATTTTGGAATAGAAGTTCTCCCCTCCCCCAAATTCTCTAAGGTGCTAGGACGCGCTAGAGTTGGAGTGAGTGTGTGGAATCCAACAGTAGGAATAAGGGCAACTGTCTAGCCCACAACGAGTGGGTAGTGGATTAGTTGAGCCCGGACCTTGCGGAATCCCGGAGAACCCACACGGAGTTTAAGGATCGAGAGCGTAGCGAAGTCAAGAGAGAAAGTAGAGGTTTTGGAGAGTTTGGCCCCACGAGCTTAGTCGGCATAGAGAGCCGCGAGCCCTCTTTCAACGCCCAATCCTTTTGATGACCTGATATTGCTTGTCTCAACATTTGAGACAGGGTCCGGTGAGCGCGTTCCGTGGCGCCATCCATTTCTGGGTGGTACGCACTGGACAATTGTAGTTCCACACCTATCAGCTTGTGTAGTTCAGTCCAAAATGTCGACGTGAATAGGCTGTCTCTGTTGCTTACAATGCGTAGGGGGAGGCCATGTAATTTGTAAATGGTATCAAAAAATACTTCGGCCATATCCTGGGCTGTATAGGTCTGCAGCGTTGGTACTAGGTGAACCATGCCACTAAAATGATCAATGATTGTACAGATCATATCCATGTCGGGTTTTTGAGAGTGGTGTCATATCCCGGAATCCCGACCCCACGCACTCCCACCACATCACACCTTCCTAACAACTTCACCATCCCCTACACCTTGCCTCCCCACTCTCCAAGTCACCTTCCCTCCTGACTGTCTCAGCTCCGGTCTGGTTGCGGCACACCGAACCTTGGCCACTCCCATCCCGGAACCTCGGTCCCGAGTCGGAACATTCGGAGATCCTGGATTTGCTCCGATATCCTGACGGACCTCCGACATCCCGTGACATGCCCTTAAACCCTTCCTCCACCCATTTCATTTATTTGAGTCACCCAACATCCTTCGGATATGCAACTCCGCTTTCGGAGCTACCCACATCCTTCGGTGATCTCCCTCACGTTATCACTTATTAGTCATCTCCCATTCTTAGCATGACTACCTTCTTACTACCATTCAGTCGGCTAACCCCCTTTATCCATTTGTCTTCCCCATTCATTTTCCGGCCTCCAACTCCGCCCTCCTTGGCCCGACACCTCGGTTCCCCGTTTTAGATATCGTTTGGAACCTTTCGGTACCTCTCGGTATCATTCGGTACCTTTCGGTGTTTTCCCCATTTTGTCATTTCGGGCTTTGACTAAAGTCCTCCCCATCCTCCTTCAATAAATACACGTAGATTAGAACCTGTAGTTCCTCAGTTCTAATCTCGACTAAAATGCCACCCAAAGTCCCTCTGAGTGAATCCTGTCCCTGTTCTACAAGACACCTCAGACATAAGAAATACAAGGACTAACTGAGACGTAACGGAGGCACAGCGCTCCCTCCGAGTCGCTGAGGCCGCGTCCTTCTTAGAGCCTCTTGTACCATCCAGCAGAACCGGGCTCCCTGAGAAGCTTCAGTTCACTACCGGAGCCCTCAGACCCCCTCAGTTGAGCCCCGCCCGCATTCGGACTCACGCATTTACCCCCTCTTCCACAACTACCTCCGGGGTTTTTGACAAGTGGCAACAGGCCTAGGAAATCAATTCCCACAGATTCCCAAGGTTGTGATGGGATCAGTAAGGTTCTCAGGAGGCTGAACAGTGCCATTGTACGAGATTTTGTCATTGTGCAAACTGGGCAAGACAGACAGAACTTACATGCATCCCACAAAATGTTTTTCCACCAGACATCACGACGAAGGTAGATCATCGTTTTCTCAGGACTTAAGTGAGCTAGAATGGAATGTGCATGAGAGATGACAATCTCATGTAGCGATCACGCACCATATGATATGTTCGGTATGCACTGAATGGAGAACTTACTGAATTATCCAAAAAGGGTCCTACTGAATAGGTGTGAAAGTTGATGACATGATAAGTATTACAGGTTTATTTGTTTGTATTTACACTCCATCCCAAATCCTGAACCTCGTTATTGTCTCAAAAGCTCATCTGGCACTACTTCCTGCTCAGGTTGACAATTTCAATGATCCCCCAATTAGCTTGTGGGCCATCTCTGACTTTTCATAATGAAAATGAAACACCATGTACTCCCTCAATCCTACCCAGGCAAGGCCAACCCTCAACAAAATCCATAAAGCACAAGCAGGGCACTACAGTACTACAGGATCACACAAGAGATCCCCTTTCTCCATCAAAGAACTTTAGGATTGATGGAAGTGTTCCCGGAAGCCTGCCAATTCCACCCCCTTGCTTCGGAAATCACAGTAGCTCACCATTGCCATCAACCCTGTCTCACTCAGCTATGGCTCATTGCCGGTAACCATATGTAAGGTTTGCTCTAGCACAAACCTCACACTATCCACACACTGTGAACAAGGAGAGAAGAAAGAGGCTCTTGGCCGTGCTGATGCTGTGTTTCGGGTTTTGCATGCCCAGAAACTGTCGATTGGTGAATTCCTCATGATATTAGTAAACCAAAACTTCCCATTTGACAGCACAACTGCCTATGAGATTCGATGGTTTCTTAGCGGGCGCACACTCAAGAACAGGCCCATTGATTTTGTTCATGCTCTGACCGAGCATCCTTGGTCTTGGAATGGACAATGGGACAATCCAACACATTTCGTACCTCCATCTTGCATCCCAATCAAGCTTAATCCACACACTCTGGACACGCAAGAAACTGATGACAGCAGTGCATCTGGCCCACTGAATATCATCGAGATCCCAGCTAAGCCCCTTGCTACTAGTTCATACGAAGTGCTAGAGAGATACTTTGTCCAGAAGGTTTCCAAGTGTGTTGACCAAGAAATATGCCAGCTTCAGAAAGAACCTGTGCTGCAAAGTTCTGCTGCCAAAGAAGGCCGTTCATTTTCATGGGATACCATAAACCAGTTCTCAGTCAAGGAGACTCAAATGGCAATGATGTGAACAGCCCCAGTAACCTGGACACTGCTAACGAGCACAGCAGTTGGGGAGAATCGATCAGAGGAGCTCAGGGAAGTGGCAGCAAGGACAAAAGCAAGTGGGAAGGGGTCAAATCACATTCACGACCCATATCTCGTGAGTCTAGAAATCATCAAATATGCAAACAAAAAAAAAACACTCAATAATGGGCATGCTTGTGAACTTCAGGAACAAAGCGGTTAATCGACTTCAGTCCATATTTGGAACTCTGATGTTTGCAACAAATACTCACCATGCGACAGTCTCTATCCTAAACCGCATTGGTCTTGTTGTTGCCCATACTACCATGCACAACTGGCTCCACAGCGCTGCTGAAAGTGCAGCCGAAAATCTCAAAGTCATAGGCTGCAAGCTTGTCCAGAATGAACTCTCAATCCACTTGGTTTATGACAATATCAATCAGTATCACCGGTGTTGGCATCCCTCACTTGAATCACAGACATCCCTTGAGAGTGGAACTGCAGCGACATTGATTATACAACGCGATGTTGAGGATGGTGCATTTGATGGACTGGATTATGAACACCGATGGGATTCAGTCACCCGAGAACAAATCACATATTCAAAAATATGGGACAACATACAGTGGGATCACATTGCTATCATAAGCATAATCAACATCCTTCGTATCATCCTTGACTATGTGCCAAATCTTCGACACCATCGTGGAGCCCTTGAACACCTATACCAACACCATTATTCGAAGCAACCAGTCAGTCTTTAAAAAACTGAATATTACCTGATGGAGACAAGCGCATTTGATGAGGCCCAGAATATTGGGAACCGAGAAGTGGTGAAGGATTTGTTGGTGCAGCAATTGGGCATCAAGCCAGAGGAGTTGAATGGTCAGATGATATCAATTTCTGGTGATTATTCAACTGCCACTAAACTCTGTTTGGTGAAACGCCACACTGCACGAGGGCGCACTTGGTTCTCCTCCCACAAGTTTGTGCTCGTACTCACTGAGCTATGGCACATGACTTCATCAAGGGGATCCTTTGGAATCACTGGGCCACAAGTACGGCTAAAGGGGATACTGGCTTGTGCATCAGTGCCGAGAAACTCAGATGGAAACTCAACAGCAGTGACCCTGAATTTTATCCAGCAGAGTGGCTTGTTGAGACAGTTCTAACTGCCATGACTTTGCATTATGCTAGGTATGAGTACAAAACACAATCTATGCCGATTTTGGCACCTGCAGCAGTCTAACACATCTTTGTCAAATAGGATTTTTATCCGTCAGAAGGACTCCTCACTCCCACTTTCCCAACTCAGCTGCACCCCCCATCTCACTGAAGAGTTACAGCTCTACTCAGAGAAGAGCTACTTCCTCCAGACTTGCTCTTTTGATGAACTACTTGAGCTCGCATGCAACATATACACAACTTTTGCCACATCCCAGTCAGCACACATGGCCCTCTACTACAATACTGCTGAGGCGACCAAGTACTTCCATCAGTTGCTTGACCCAGCCAAAGACTCATTATTCCCTTCACCCCAACCACTTTCTTTGAGTGCGTGGGTGCGCGAAAGCCGGAAGTACAACTCCGAAACCGACTCTGACTCCGAGAATGACAATGACAACGATGCTTGGCCACCTGAGACACCCAACTCCGGTTCTGTGGGCGACATTCTTTTATTCAACAACATACTGCTCTACCATGACATGCTCCTGTACTGGGAGTTCTGGACTAGCATCAAGGATGGGGATGTTGGACACACATTTGAAATCATCAAGGTAAGTACGTGGTGTTGGTTGCTGCTCTCCTACATTCACTTTTCCTGCCAGTGGCTACGGATCTGGTTTTTTGGGGTTGGAGCGACAAACTACGGTCAAGAGCTGTTACATCAAGCACTTGACTTGTGATTTCACCTCTCTGAGAAGATGAAGAGGGCTGTGTTCAGCAACTATGTCATTTGCCCATCAGGCCGCTCTGATGGATGGGTGGAGCATGATCTCCTTCAGGAGCATCACAACTTTTGGATCAAACAGGTGTTCAATGGCCAGCTGGCGAAATTTGATACCTCTTTTCTTAGGGAAGCTGTCACCCTCAATATTGTCCCACTGAAAGAGCTGTCCCAGAATATATTTGAGAGATTTGGACTAAGCAACTTCTTCTCAGGTCGCATAAAAATCAACATGACATTTGACATCAACTACCTTGGCCAAACGTATCTTATGGACAGGCACCACCTATACCAAGCTGGCCGAACTCAGTCATATGTTGTATTGGACCCTATTGAGTGTCATATCCATCCCTGGCCATCGACTTCTGATCCCTTCCGCTCCTTCCTCACTAACCTCGGAGCTCCTGTATTCCGCAATTCCCTCGGTACCCCTTGATGGTCACCACCCCCTCCTTTCAATTTATTACCTATGCCTCCCTAAGTACGGAGCCCCAAAGGCTTCCAGACAGCTCCGACATCCGCTAGCACACTCCCACCTCTGCTGGACAATACACTTGCTTGCCCTGCAAAGCCCACCTTCGGGCCTATCCCTCCCTTCCGTTTCTGGGTTATCGCCTGCCTTTCCGTTAACCCCGTAACCCGACTCGTCGGTAATATTCAATCGGCTAATGTCTAACACCATTAGCTCGGCTCCACCATTTGCGGACCCGCCCTCACTGTAACTATATATACTCAACTTGTACATAGGTTACACTTCAGTAATAAAATCGACTAGAGTTTACCCCCTTCAGTTCTGGTTGCCAGTTTAGTAAGTTAGGGCATGGACATGTTACTTGGCACAGCGCTCCTGGCACAAGTCGCTGAGGCTGAAGCCCTCCGCCATGGAGACACTCCTTTGTCTCAACCAGGTCTCTGACATTGAGCATGGATCTGCAAAACTTGAAGACGGTGCATTGCAGAAATTTCTGGACAAATATTTTGGAAAGTAATGTTAATCTAAATTCCCTTCTTCCAACATGAGTTGCACACGCTCAGTAAGTTTCCATTTACGTGGGCCTGTCATTACCTCAGCAGCTGATAGAACCTGGTTCCGTGATAGCAGTGTTTCCATGTTCTCTGATGGTATTCCAACTGGAACTCCACTGCTGCCTTCACCCCTGTCACCCAGTTCTACATCTGCTTGCACCCTCGCTGCCTGTCTGGGCCTTGATTCCTTCCCCTTCTTCCTCTTCACCTTCTCTGCTGCTGCTTCCATCTCAACATTGAGTTCCTGCACCAGTCCCCAGAGGCTTTCTCACTGTGGTGCTGTCATTCGGGTTACTGTAGGAAGGGTTTGAAGGAAGTTCATAAACTTGATTTGCGATGTCAAAATATGGAGGTGATTGCTAAGTTTCCTCAAATCCCCATCACCAATTATCCTTCCGGGGGGCAAGTTCATTTGTTGCAGATCCATGTGTGCATACCATGCATCTTGGTGCCACTTTGTGAGTTGATCAAGCACCTGTGATTTGAGATCCTTGGTGAGTTCGGTGAAGTTCTTCACCCCTCTGGGTGCTGATGGAAGTTTTGTTTTTCCCAATGCCTTCCGATGTGCCACCTTCTTGAGATGCTGCTCGACTATCCCCTCATCCCTTACTCTTGTGTCCTCCTGGCAAGACTCGCAGCAATTATGGGGCTTTACAAAGTCATCACCATAATATGCATAAACAGAACGCTGGCATTGGGTTCCGGGTGGGTTGAAGAACTTCACTAAACCTGGAGCTGCCTTTGACTGATAATGTTTGCATGCTGCAACTTGAGCCATAGTTAGTGCCTTTGCAGCTTTTCGAGTGGGGTCAACATATACCCTCACCCTTCTTCGCTTCCTTCGAATCCTCCACCATCTCGTGTGTGAATATCATTTCTTTTGGTGCATAAACAATGAAATTTCCACCACTCCCATCCCGACTTGCCCGCCCAGCCCATTGTGTCATCTCTTCAAAGGTTGTGGGAAGATCAACACATATGACCTGTCAGACTGGCAAGTTAAGTCCCACATTTGCACAAATTGTTGCAACCACATATCTAATCTGACCTGACATCAAGCCAGCATGGGTAGCACTATGATCCTCTTTGTATAGCTCAGCATGGAAAGGCCATACCAAATCCCTTGCTGGATAACCATCTGGTGCAACCTGCTCCAGCTCTCGGATCAGCCAGTCAGAACACACTGTGGCTTTCTCAACAGTGCGGATGGCAAATAATGTGGGGACAAGATCAGATGGGGAGTGAAGTTCCTTGGGTATGGCCCAAGCAAAATCCGGGAATTCCAGACTGTCAATTGAATGGTAATGTACGCATGCACAGTATTTGAGATCGAGCTGATCCACTGGTAACTTCTCGTCGTGGAACTGATCTCCATAGAATCCAAGGCAGGCTTGTATTTGGGCTCTGCTATTGTGATGTAGGGATGCTGACATGGCCAAGAATGGGATGGAAGATCCAATGCGAGATCAGATTTCAGATAGAACTCTGTACTTTGGATGGAAAACTCCCCAGTCTAGTACTAGGTGGACTTCATCAATGCCACAGAAACCCAATGCACGTTTGAAGTCAGGATCTTCCAGTAACTTGGCGGCACCTCTATCAGTAAGCATTTCTGGACTCATGCCAATCACATCCCACTGAAGCCGTCGAGCCTCCTCCCATAGATCACAATTATGCTCCATATATGCTGTGGCAATGGTCTCAGCATTCAGAGCAAGAAATCTAATATTCTTTCCCCATGCATTGGCTTCCTGGAAAGCATGTAGGTTTATCATGGACTCTTCCTGATGATACATGATGGCTGAACTCACCTGATCAAGCATCAATTCCACTGTTGGGTAAACAATAATGGCCATATGTGGTCTTTTCAGAACCCTGCATGCTATTACTGGCACCATGGTGAGCATTGACTTCCCACTCCCGGTTTTTGAAGTGAGAAAGACATCTTTTCCCTGGCACAGGTGCCACACATTCCTGACCTGCCACGCATGGGGATTGACATGGAACCATTTTTGAAAGATTAGTCTCATCCATAGGTCACTTTCATGTGTAAATGGTTGCAGTTCAATGCATAGAGCCTTGATTGCTTCATTGTATGTGGAGTTAGGTTTATCCCATATAATAGCTTCGAAGTTCATGAGAGGCAAGCAGTCAGGCATATGCCGAATGAATTGATTATGTGATAATTTACATAATTGTGCTTATGCAGCCCGACTAATATTCATCATGTCATCAACTTTCACAGGCTATTCAGTAAGACCCTTTTGAACAATTCAGTAAGTTCTCCATTCAGCAGCCGGACTTTGAAACATGACTACCAAAATGGCAGTAAATCAGGGTGCCAATACAATCTCCATTTTGGTGCCCATAACTGGGATCCTAAGGAACCTAGCTTGTTTTGCATGTAACACTCGGCCATGGGTTTCAGCAAGGGGATCCTTAGCTGGGTGAACATGGTCAAGAGTGTGCATTGGGATGGGGTGATTAGCACTCATTATTTTCCTACATTGTCAATCAGCTGTTTCCAATATATTCAGGATTATATTGAATAGTATTCATCCAAATTAGGTGTGTGGTTTTTTCTGTCACTTGCTGTAACCACTTGAACTCAATCGCCAGCCTCTGCCGATGTTAAGGTCCCTCACATTTTTTCGCTACCTACACACTCTTGATCTACACCGATCTAAACCGATCTAACCCTCACTTCTGAATCCCGAGCTTAAGGCCGGCCACCTTAAGCTTTACCCACCTCTAACGACTTTAGTTGCAACGTGATGATGAACCTGAGGAGTGGTCGAGGCTATGTCCCACTGGTGAGCTGATGTGGCCAATCAACCTCAGTAGATGCTTTGGCACCAGAACCGGTTACTAACCAACCTATTGTGCACGATGGGAGCCTGTCAGTAGAGAATACCAAGCTGCCTCTCAAGATACCTAGTGAACAGGATGATCTAGTTATGACAAAAGGACTCGATCTAGATGTAGGACAAGCTAACAAGAATGAAGGATACAGTATGAGACATGTCTGGTGAGTAGCTTTCCAACTTTGAAGAGCGTGGGGCTAGCAGCTCTGGGACTTAGTCCCATGGAGAGTGCAGCACCAGCAGCTCCAGACTCATACCCAGTCGGAGGAGCTCTGTGGATGTGCAAAATAATAGCTTTTTTACGCAATGTAAATAAATGTTCTCACACTAGACCTGCTTCCGATTAAAGTTACATTCTGTACTCAATACAACAGATCACATGGTATGGAGTTAAACACATAGCTGATCACCTACTCTGAAACTTGCCTGCAACACTTTGCTCCTCTGACTGGGGCAAATTGTAGATGGCTGTGCTATGGCACTTTCTGGCCTCTGTCCTCCCACGGTAAACAATGCTCGCTTCAAGGCTCTAATCACCACACCCCTCCCCAACCTAACACAGAAAAAATCCAAAACAAATGTAGTAGTTAACCCCACCCAAAATTGACCCAGCCCAACCCAGCCCAACCCAATTCATGGGCTTTTTGTCCTTATGTGCTCAAATTATGTTGGAGTTTTGTATTGCGCACTCAGCACTTTGTCATTATTGAGCCCAGTCAAGGGAAATACATGGTAGACCTACCTAATCATAGCCCAACCCTGTTTTGCAAAATTGACTTGAAGTGGTACACAAATCCCAAACAATACACAATGATTTTCGTGAGGTCTGTTAGAACGGGCGGATTCGGATGACTCCGGAGTGGAATCGGAGACTTAGCATGGAAGGACCTCGGCCTCAGCGACTCAGGCAGAGCGCTGTGCCATTGCTGGTTGTCCTGGGGGTCCCTAATTTCGGATCTAGCAGAGGGAAAGTCTCTAGGGGGCATTTCAGGTCGATTTCGGACTAAAGGCCTAAAACGAGTATGCACAAGTGCGGATATATAATGGAGAGGGCGAAAGCACAAGGAAACAAAGGGGGTCCGAATTGGAACGAAGGCGTCCGAACAGGAACAAAGGGATGACAGAAGCGGAGCGGTACTGAAGGTCATAGGGCAGAACCTGTGGTACATCCAAAAGGAGGTAAGGAGGGCAAAGCCCAGAGGGGCAGGAGGATGAGGGGAAGTGGGGATGATGACTAACTGGCTAGAATGGGAAGAAGCAGCAGTCCAAATAGGGATGAGGGGAAAATGCGAAAGATACATTACAAGCGGTGTAGGCGGGATAATCGCCCACGCACAGACTCGGCTCGGATACCCGTTTTCACGACTATAAAACCACTTCCATTCATGCGACAACTCGGTACGGAATTTGGTACCTAAAAATAGTCCTAATTCGTACGATTCTGACGATACCAAGAACGCCCCAATCGGTCGAGATTTGACGGAGTTCTGCATTGGACAGGTTAGGCACGGAAGGTCACGAGTATGTGCGGGCGTGGGAATCTCAAACGGCAACCCAGAATTCCAGCCTCACTCGTTCCCACGGCATCTAATAAATTGGTAAAAATGCTTATTGGCTGCGTGAGAGTTATCTCCGGCTGAATTTCCAATTTCGGCTCATAATTCCGTAAATCCGTTGAGAAATCGCTTATTTCCTGATATTTTCATATTTTGCCATCATTTCAGATATTGATTGATATTCTTTTATTGTTACTGTTACCCTTTTTTTATTATTTCGCCTAATAAGGTATGCAGGTGCCATATGGTACCAATATTTCCCATCAATTATTCTAAAAATAATTGTTCCTTATATCCTGTACATACCGGATTCTGGAAAAGAAGTTCTCCCCTCCCTAATTTTCTCTAAGGCGCTAGGACGCGTCAGAGTTAGTGTGTGTGTGTGTGGAATTCCTACAGTAGGAGTAAGGGCAGTTGTCTAGCCCACAAAGAGTGGGTAGTGGATACTGAGCCCGGACCTTGCGGAATTTCCGGAGAATTTCCAGGAGTTTTTGGATCGAGGCCAGTGGAGAAAAGGGTTTTAGTGGAGAGTTTCCCCCACGAGCTTGGTTGGCGCTGAGAGCCGCTAGCTCTCTTGCAGCGGCGAAAGTGCCGAAGATGATCCGTGGAGCTTGGAGGTTGCGGAGCTTACAGAGGCTACGGAGGTGGGGTTGAAAGTCCGAGGAATATTGGCAATGGTGTTTACGTAGTATGAGGTCACCAATGCAATGGACTAAAGCTGAGGTGGGGTCAAAGTCCGAGGTAGGAACTATGACAGAGTCTCGGAGCAAAGGTATGAGCGGTGTCCGAGTACAGAGTATGGGACAGTGGTGAAAGGTCATAACTTGGTGGAGGGTCAGTGGAAGAGGGTCAGAGGGAAGAGAGAGGAGAGAGGAAGGGGGTGAGGAGTGGAGGAGAGGAAAGGTGTCAGGTCCAAAGGTGAGTGTCAGAGCAGATGGGAGAAGGGTAGGAGAGTGACGGAAGGGTGGAGGTGTCGTGAGGAGGAGTAGGAGGAGGAGTGAGAGGAGTGATGTTTGGTCCGGGATGAGTATCGGAGCAAACGGAGATAGGGTAGGAGAAGGACGGGAGGGTGGAGGTGGCATGAGGGGTGAGGGGAGGTGTGGTGTCAGGACCGAAGGTGAATATCAGAACGGACAGCAGTAGGGTAGGACTCCAGAGGTGGTGAAGATGGAGGTCCGGGAGTCGGTTTGGGATCGAGTATGTATGGATATGACAAGGTCCATTCCAAAAGATATATAGAAGATAATAAATATGGTCATGTGTTGATCACTACAGTATCCCCACCCAAGAAATTAGCCGATGAGGTGAAAAAGAATATTATTTTGAGCAATCATTGTGTATTGTTTGGGATTTGTGTACCACTTCAAGTCAATTTTGCAAAACAGGGTTGGGCTATGATTAGGTAGGTCTACCATGTATTTCCCTTGACTGGGCTCAATAATGACAAAGTGCTGAGTGCGCAATACAAAACTCCAACATAATTTGAGCACATAAGGACAAAAAGCCTGTGAATTGGGTTGGGCTGGGTTGGGCTGGGTCAATTTTGGGTGGGGTTAACTACTACTACATTTGTTTCAGATTTTTTCTGTGTTAGATTGGGGAGGGGTGTGGTGATTAGAGCCTTGAAGCGAGCATTGTTTACCATAGGAGGACAGAGGCCGGAAAGTGCTGTAGCACAGCCATCTACAATTTGCCCCAGTCAGAGGAGCAAAGTGTTGTGGGCAAGTTTTGGAGTAGGTGATCGGCTATGTGTTTAACTCCATACCATGTGATCTGTTGTATTGAGTACAGAATGTGACTTTAATCAGAAGCAGGTCTAGTGTGAGAACATCTACCCACATTGCATAAAAAAGCTATTATTTTGCACGTCCACAGAGCTCCTCCGACTGGGTACGAGTCTGCAGCGGCTCTGGGGTACAACCCTGTAGAGAATCAGAGCGCATACCCAGCAGCTCCAGGAACCAACCCTGTCGAGAGTGTGGTATTAGCAGCTCTGGGGACCAGCCCCATGGA